TCAGAGAAAATATTTTTCCACAGCATAAAAGAACTAGGCACTGTGCCACTAGAAAGTTTAATTGCTATATGACTTTAAAAGATGGCAATTTAGTCTAAATTAGTGTTATACTAATTTATTTATCAAATTCCAGTATATGTAGTTATGTTCTACAATCCATTTATTCTTGTAAGCTGTGTGGCCCATTAGATGGTGAAGTAGAAGGTCATTAACCTGCATTGCTAGTTCAGATGATGTTATTAGATTGAATTTAGTTTCTTCAGTGGTGGGTGTTGACATTTTAGAGTGCTTTCAGGGTAATTTATCTACAGCCATTCAGTTCTTTTCAGCCATTCAGAAATGTTGTGGATCTAAAATACTGCAAGCCTGATGAAGACAGATTTCTTGGTTCAATTTCAGATGCGGCTTGTCTTTGTGCTTCTGATATTTTTCAAGTTCTTTTTATGAAAGTGGGTTTTATGACACCACTCATGCAAGATATTAAAAAAATAATGTCAGGTCCCATCAAAATCAACAGCTATAACTTAAATACATGAGTTTTAAATATAATAAATTCTAGATTTTTTCTGATGCTTTCTGTGTTTAGAGATGTCAGTATTACATTCGAGGGAACTGTTTTTCCACTACAATTTCCGCTTCCCTTCCGATTAAGCGGATGCAGAGTGCTGTCCCATGACCTCAGGGCTGAAGCATGACCCAAGCACAACCTTTTGTAAGTAAGACCTAGGAAGGAATAATCTCTAGATTTATTAGTGTAGCTGTGGACAACAGCCCATGACACCTGATAGTATACAAAACAAGTCATGCCTTTCTCAGTGTTGGTAAACTGGTGGAACTTGCACAGGGCAGAAGCTGCCCAAGAGCCTCAGGACTGCCAAGAGGCTCTGCCAGACCAGGGATGGTCCAATATAACGGGTCCTGCCTTCCCCTTGCTGTTGGATTTGCTCGATTATGAGCTCAAAGTAGAATACAGCCTTCACAGCCCACAACAAACCTGCCGCCTCTTCTCTGGTCTTCACAAGTCCCTTGGGCCCATGCTGCTGATGGCCATGCTTCAAAGGACGGGCGATGTGAAAACAGCAAGTCCATCTTGGTTAAAATGACACTGAGGAAGGGGACAATGAGAGGGAAAGTTTTAAATATGTGGTGCCCTATATGAGTACACATCTCTTATTTGATTCCCAAACAAAACACAGGGAAAGTACCCAGACAAGGGAGAAGACACTATTGATGAGAGCTTGCAAAGTCTCATTCCTTCCTATTGCTTTGCTCTGGTGAAACCTGCAGGGGCCTTTCCACTCATGGCAAGGTTTTTTTCCCCCTCCAACTACAAATCCTTCCTAAGCTTCCAAATCTCTTCCTTTTTCAAGAAAACCTTTTAGTCAGCCATTTCAATTTCTTTCTAAAAAATGGTCTTCCCCTCAAATTGCTACAAGAGCAATACCGGGAAAACAGATGACTCTGCACACCCTTAGAAATCCCAACCTCTGACACGGTATGTGCAGATACCATACAATAATGATAGAATGGGTTTTGCAAATAGCTGAAAGGCAGAACCAAAACCACCTGGTTTGCAAGGGAATCCTTGTCTCTGAGAAGTTTATAAAGAAGATATTCCTGTCTTGTTCTGCTGGCTTTTTTCTTTCTTATATTTTTAACAGCTTTCAGTATTACCTGTGCAAGAATCATGATATGGCTGTGGGAAAGAAGAGAGTCTCACCACTCACGTTTGCTTTTAATGATCTTCATGCCTCTTACTGCAAAGAAGACACCACTTCTTGTTTTATTTTTACTGCAGGTCGCACATTTCCCTCCAGTATCCTGAGCACTGGAAAACAGTAGGGACCAAACTGAGGGCTTCTTTTTAAGGGTGTAAGGGCTTCTCTCTTTGGCTCAGAGAGGTGCAGTTTAAGTACCAGTGTCCATGGGGATGGGGTGGTATGGTATACCCCATCCCAACACATCTCTTGCTTAGATGGGCTGGACCCTTGCTCACTTGTCTCAGCTGAGGGATATAGTCTCTTTTAGACTTAAAGATCCCTGAAACAGTATTTTCCTGCCTGATTGCTATCAATTACTTCAAAATGCCTTGTATCTGAAGATCAGGCTATGAAAACCTGTGTTTATCTTGGGAGAGGAAGTTTACAATCCCTTAAATTGCTTTTGTGAAAGATGCTGGGGAACCTGTTTCTCAATTTTCATGCTTTTGCTATCTGCCTGCAGCCCTGCTTGCAGTTTGGGGGGGGAGATGAAAGTGTCTCTGAGCCCTGCTGACACCTGTTTGGCTATCTATCTGCGTACTTAAACTGGGAGGGCAACTCAGCACTTCAGGACTTGGAAATGTAACTTCTCAGCTGTTTTGCTGAGCAGATCTGCTTCTAGGCAGGCATTACTGTGGTGGATTGAACCTGGATGCATGCCAGGTGACCACCAAAGCTGGCCTATAGCTCTCCTCCTCATCTGGACATGAGAGAGAAAATATAATGGAAGACTCCTGGGTTGAGATATGGATAGGAAGAGATCACTCACTAATTACCATCACAGGCAAAATAGACTCAACCTGAGGAAATTGGCTTAATTTGTTACCAATCAAATAAGATCAGGATAATGAGAAAAGAAACCAAATCAGAAGAACACCTTATCCCCATCCCTCCTGTTTACCCAGGCTTAATTTCACTACCAAATTCTCTACCTCTTCCCCTTCAGCAGCAAGGAGACGGAGAATGGGGCATACAGAGAGTTCACTACACGTTGACTCTGCTACTACCTCCTCCTCCTGGGAAGGACTCCTCACACTCTTCCCCTGCTCCAGCATGGGGTCCCTCCCACAGCAGACTGTCCTCAGTGAACTTCTCCAAAGTGAGTCCTTCCCACAGGTTGCAGTTCATCATGAACTTATCCAGTGTGGATCACTTCCATTGGGTGCAGTCTTTCAGGAGACTGCTCCAGCATGGGTCCCTGTGGGGTCACAAGTACAGCCAGCAAACCTGTTCCAGCATGCGCTTCCCACAGGTTCACAGCCTCTCTCAGGCATCCTCCTGCTCCAGCATGGGGTTCTCCCTGGGCTGCAGGGGCACATCCTCCTGCTCCACCATAGATCTCCATGGGCTGCAGGGGCACAGCCTGCCTCACCATGGCTGCACGAGGACCTCTGCTCTGGTGCCTGGAGCATCTCCCCCTTCCTTCTGCACTGACTTTGGTGTCTGTAGAGCTGTTTTTCTCACATATTCTCACTCTTCTCTCTGTCTGCAATTGCTCCTGTGCAGTAACTTAAGCTGCTTTTTAAATATGTTATCCCTGAGGTGCTGCCACTGTTGCTGATGAGCTCAGTCTTGGCCAGTGGCAGGTTCATCTTGGAGCTGGCATTGGCTTTGTTGGACATAGGGAAGCTTCTAGCAGCTTCTCACAGAAGTCACTCCTGCAGCCCCCCTCTACTACCAAAACCTTCCACATAAGCCAATTGCTGTCTATTTTCTTCATTAGTTGTGAAAACCATGGAAATAGGGCTCCATTGCTCACTGCATGACTCCTGAATAAACACATACTGTGCAAGGTTTGCCTTTGTAAACAAAATAGTTTTCCCTTTCAGGAGCTGTTTGGATAAAAACAAGTGTTGTCATGGTCAGATAAATGCTGGCACTCCTTTGGTGGAATTAACTATTCCAGCTTTTATCCTGAACTAAAAATAACAATAAAACACATGAGTGAGGTGAATAAATCTCAGCTAATCAACTGGACAGCACTCCATAGGTAGTAGGAAAAGAGGGGATTACTAACAATCCCATAGTTATATATAGAAGCATAAATAAAACATACAATTTTGCACTCTTACCTTCATGTTTGTTAGAGATACAGAAAACCATAAAATTTCCACTGCTAAGTACAGTTTTTGTGTGTGTTTGGGACAGCATAAACTATTTATTAACTGTCGAAAGTAGAAGTACTTGCTAACTTGTCAAAATCTTGTTACATGTTTCTGGGTATGTGTTTGTTCAATAACTAGTTTGATGGAAGTGCATTACACAGGCACAGCTATACTGTAGCTGTTATAGCTGTCACTTTCTCTCTTTCACTGCCTTGATGTTTGGATGAATTTATGAAATCAACAGGCTCGCTTTGGCTTATTTTCTCTCTTTATCCCTTACCATATTATACACAGCTTCTTCTGTGTCAGAATAATAACTAAGAACTGCTCAGGGCTTTTGCAAAGTAATTCTTGCATCAGTTGGGTTGAGTGGACACTGCCTTCTGCGGTGTATGCATGCAGACATATGGAATCAGGCTGCTTTTTCTTCACGTGGTAGCTTCAACTTCAGATTGTGCTATCAAAATTCATGGCATTCAAATGCCACTAAAGAACTCTGCAGGATTCCAGTAGTCTATCATTTTTTTTCCAGACATATTAATTTGATAGTGAATGGATATCACTGAATAGAAAAGAGTGAGACCGCTTTAACCCATCAGTGTAAGCCATGGTGGTACATCTGAAAACTCATCTGGAGAAGGCTGTGATGTTGGTCTGTGGTGGATGTCAGGTGAAGGAAGTGCTGAAATGATGGTGGAAAATGTGACAAAGTGTAGGGTTTGTTTTAGCAGTGGGAAGATCCACAGAAGGATTATTTCTAGAATATGATAAAGATCAGCTCATCATTAATTCATCAGAATCTTGAGGCAAATTCCTGCTCAGAAAATCTCAAAAATGTGGATTTCCTGAAGCTGGAAAGGAATCTCAGGAAATGACACCTTCTAACTTATTTGACAGACCAGTTCCCTGAATATCTGCCACCTGCCAATGTCAGAGGCAGGTTACTGGGTTGCGACACTCCTGGTAAAACCCTGTTTCCTGTGCCCCATGTACACTCGCCCTGCAGACAAGTCAGTCGTGAAAGTGTGGTGGGGATCTCTGACTGCTGCCACTGCAATCAACACCTGTGACTCAGTGAGGCAGGTGAAGAGGAGATTCACACAATCACCAATAGATTCCATGCCAGAAAAGCTGTCCAGCAGCTCCAAACTCTCTTCAGCGATCTGCTAGACCAATAGACACCTCTGCAGTGGACAAAGCCCTTCAGCTGGCAGCGCTGTCCAGGAGACAAGCACAGCTTCAATGCGTCCAGGTGTAAGTATAGAAATAATGCAAATGCTTTTCTTTCCTTTTCTTCCATTGCTGTTTCAACTCAGCATTGTCTCTGCTCAATAGCAAGACAGCGATTTTGCAGATTTTAAAACACTAATCATAGGCAATTATTTCTAAAAAGATTTGCTTGCAGTAGGCAGACTTTTCTCTTAAGTTGAAAGCCTCGCTGTTCCATTCTTTCTTCTGTTTCGAATTATAATAATTTTCTGCCTTGTGTTCTCTCCCAGCTGAAATTCCTCCTCTTCTGACACAATTTGAATCTAACTAATCTTCAATTGGAAGATTTTTATATATCTTTTATAAATAATCTATAGCAACAAAAGCATTGACAGCAAACACAAAGCAAAACAAGCAGCTGAAGCTGTTTGTGTGTATATCTTAAAATGTAATTCTGGCCTTCGCAAGGCAGCAGTCTTTCTTGGTGGACCTATAAAATGAAGCTTATTTTTTACACTTAGAATTTAGGAACAGAGCAGAGAATGCAGATTTTATGGCATAAGTGCAATGAACATACTTATGTTGCTTTCCCACAGCTGTTTATGATTGGAGGAGAGCACACAAATCCTGAAATCCATTTAAATTAGTAGCTTTTTGCCAACATTTTTTCCATGAAATATTCGGAAATTTTGGTAAGGAGCTTGTTTGTTTTCATATTTTCTTTTAAATTATCAATACTAAAATGAAATATTTATCGGCTCAGGACAAACGGTTTGATTAATCCTCAAGTGAAATTATTCTACAGCTTTCAAAAATTACAAATTCATTCTTGGTCCATTTCTAAACAGAATGTCAAAGTTCAATTCCCACCCTGTTTTTTTCTGTAACCCTGTGATCCTAGTTTCTGTGCTTTTTACCTACTTTTTGTTCATCGTTCTCCTAGGAGGTGTTAGCTTCTTCTCTCTCCAAACCATTGGTATATTCAGTCTAGATCATAATATTTTGAAAGCTTTTGCTGAATTTTGTTATGAGCATGGATAACATAGCTTTTTAGAGTCGTGTTATCCAGCCCAGATGGTCTGTTAAGTGTGGCATGGTAACACCAATTGCCTATGGTATATATATGATATCCTATGGTATAGTTGAAGTGATGTGACCAGGATACACTTCCTTCTGCACCTTGAGTTACTGGGGTCACATTTAGTGTAACGATGTTCAAGGCAGCCATTACCATGGGTGCAAATCAGGGCCTGAACATATCTTTCTGGATCCAGACTTTGAAACCTTAGCAGCTCCTCAGCTCTCACCTACTTTTCAGCTAATAAGTAATAAACATAGCAATTATTTTTGAAATGTGTGAATCTCTTACCGTACCATCTGAACATGACACATTGCATTGATCATTGAAACTGAAAGTGTTGATTGTTACTATTTAATTTGTACCAGTTCCCATCAGAAAGGTGTATTTCAAGTGTCTGGTTCCATTTGAGCTGCCCTTGGGTATGTTGCTTAGCCCCTAAAGGTTCTGGGTATCATGTGTAACTTCCTGGCTTTTCCACATCCAGCATATCCTAGGGAAGGAGTATCAGTGTACATGGGAGGGTTGTCCTGCAGTGTCAGGGCATGTTTGCATATTTTTGACAAAGAAGCTATTATTGCATCTTGCATTCTTTCTCAGTGCTGAAGCTTCAGGACTGATGGCCTCTGTGCCATGGCTGCAGTTGTTGGCTCTAAGGATGTGTTGAAGTGCTTCAGATCCCCACAGGGATGGCAAGGTACCCCACAGTGCAAATGATCCCATCGTTAAACCATCAGTTTTCCTCAGAAGTTCTAGATCTAAATACAAGATTGGGGTTGGACTGAAATAGTTGTGAAGCATGCTGCATGCTTAGCTTCCTAGGTGTCACCCAACGAACAGCTGTTCCGAAAATGGGAAATCACTGCCTTCATTAACCAGGCTGGCTCTTCACCAAAAGAATGGACCATTCTGAAGCACTGGCAGGTCAGAGCAGACAACGAAGGAGAGGACTGCTGCTTCTCTGAACAGGGAGCTTCAATAGATATAAGGCACATTCTACTCATATGTAAAAAGGGTCCTTTTGTGGTACCTTTTTTAGCTCTTTTTTTAATATACTTTCATTAGCAGCACATTCTCTTTTCTGAGTGCGGAATAAAGTCCCATCTTCTGCATATATTAAATTGCAGCTTCTGCTTTCAGCATGATTGCTCCCTCTCTGGACCAGATTCATAATGAGGCTTGCTTTTTAGTTTTTGTTTCCACCCCCCCCCCCTTTTTTTTTTCCCCCTCTCTTCTCAATAAGCTCCTGGTGAAGCAATTCCTGCTGTCATGAACTGAAAATTCATCTACAGACTCTGCTGCTGGGGATGCTTTTGGGGATCTTTCTCCCCCAGAATTCTCAACTTTCCAATGAAGATAAATAACCACATCTTGCAGCTACAGTTTTTGACTGAATGACAGCTTAAAAGAAGATCCCTGTCAGCTTTCATAACAGAAGAAGAAATTGTTCCAACAATTCTTAGGAAAATGAACAGGCACTTTTTCTGCAAAACTATTTTGCAGCCCTGCTGCTGAATTGCAGCTCACACTGAGGCCCTTCAGGTTGGTTTCTTGTCACAGAAGAAAGGGAGTGACCTGGAGCCATGGTATTTTAGTAGCTTCCCTTGTTATAGCTGCATGAACTTTGAAGTCCTAAATGCAAGGTGAATACAAAAAGCAGGCAGCTGTAATCTCTCTCAGGGATCTTGCTTCCTCAGTTTTTGTATCTGAGGAAGCACCTCTGTATCACAGATTAGTTGTAGTTAGAGAAAGGAAGTTAGAAAACAAATGTTTGTTGCTTGCAATAGCCACCATCCAAGACCTGTGCACCACAGACAGCACTGACACTGCAATCACTTTTGTGGAGACTGTTCAGATGAAAAGCAAAGGTGAGCTGTTGAGTATTTGATCTTAGGGTCCTTTCCAACCCTAACTGTTCTATGATTCTATGATTCAGCTCTTTCTGTGGTGAACTGCATCTCAGCTGCTGTTCAAGAAAGGCTCAAAATGCTTCAGCATCAGCTGGGAATATTTCTCATCATTTTACAGCAATGCAGGCAAGGTGAAAATGGAGAGCTTCTCATACACTTTTTGACAGTTGTTAGTAAAAGCATCCTATGCATTGGATCCTCTTGCTGAAGTTAATTAGGACATAGCATTTCGAGAGCATCCCAGGCAAAGAGGTGAGAACTGACCACTGAGGATGCAGAGGCGTTGAGGGGGAGATTGACCCAATCCAGACTCAGTGTACACTAGCCTTTCTCAAGTTTGGCTGACATATGGCCACATAAATTAAAAAAAGAAAAAACAAAAAAGAAAAAGAAAAAGAATGGGGAAATTCCACACTGCTTCTCTTGCAGAATGATTCCATGGTGAATTTTCCAGATGAGTTACCTCCCCTTCACTCTACTGATGAGTACCAGCCACGGTGCTAAGAAAAGGCTGTATTCATTCCAGCAGGCATGAAGATAACATAAGTTGGAATTGGTAATGCAGCTCATTTTGGCAGTGCTCTGAGTTCTGTGGTCCATCCCCAGACAAGTCTGCTCAGCTTTTGCCAGCCTCAGAAAGATGTAAAACAAGAGGCAAAACCTGAAGTTGCATGGATCCGACCTGAAATCCTATTCCCTTTTTCTTGTTTCTCCTTGCAATCCTGTTTCTAATGCATATAGTCAGTGTAAAGGAGAGCAGTGCCCACCCAGTTTCATGCTACTTCATAAATAACCAACTTGTGCAGATAATTAGTCCTGAGTTTTCAAGTAAGAACAAGGAACAGTCTGGATCAAGGCCTTGAATTTTCTGTGATGGTCATGTAAAAGTTATGCCAATAGCAACGGTGTTCCCATTTCACACAGTGTGTTTTGCTGCTTAAAAAAAGGGGTTTGCAAGTCTAAGCTGTGAGTGGCTATGGACCATAATAAAGGCTTTCCTCTCATTTTGTGGAGTCCAGCAAAGTGATGCTTTATGGGAGAGATTCTTAGTTTCTTTGCGTCTGGGGCTGATAAGGTGTAGTAGCTCATCAGTAACATGGCTCATGCAGTCCAATTAGTGACAATCCCTTACTTGGCACCATGCTGTTTGAATGGTTCTCAGTCAGAAGAATTGACTGGCTCCAATTAACTCTAAGCTTTTCAAGCAAAAATATTTGTAAATAGTTCTGTGCTTCAGCCAACATTTTTATATGACATTAGTGTGGTCAACCTGCTGTTAGACATTTCAAAGCTGCTAATTAGTCTGTCATGTCCAGCCTCATACAGCTTGCACAATTACCATTTTGTCATCTTCCCCACTGACACCAAATGCATTTTAGAAGATGAAATCCAGATATGCCAAACAGTGAACCTGCACCTGCTCTGTAATGCAAAGAAGAAGGCACTGGGAATCAGGAATGGTCCATAGGGGTTGAGAATTATCCCAAGTGGGGCAAGACCTTGGTTCAGAGAAGAGCTTTATACTCACAGCCCCAAATCAAGCCTGGCAGGGCACCCCCAAGCCAATACCAGAAGTTGGCTGCCTTCTGTGCTACTCAGAACTCTACATACCTGGCATGGACCTGCCTAGTCCCCTCATAGCCAAGGCGCATGTGTCTTTCGAAATTAAGCACCTGCGCTCATTTTTCATAGTTCGTTTCCATATTGTGGCTGACTTAAGCTTAAAGATGACTTTGCAAAAAGCTTCTCAAGCTCACTTCCTTTGTGATGCCAGTATTAATGTTCCTTCATACTGGTTTGCCTCTGATCTGAGCAGGTTTTCTCAAAGCCTGGGAAGGTGAAAGTTGGCCAGTGTTTGTGTTGGTAGCTGGATGTTCCTCATGGGTATCAGCAAGATTGCAGAAAGGTAATTTGCAATGCAATAAATAAAGGAACTTACTGACTGTGAAATAGATTGAGATATTCCTAAATCCAGTTTCTGTAAAGAGCTGGCATCGATTTTGAGATCCATAACTGGAGAATTCTTACTGTTACGAATGTTCTAACTGCAGTGGTCTGAAACTGAAACAGTCTAGCTCCCAAACGCCAAAACTTCCAAGTCCTCAGATGTTCATACAACTGCTTAACTTTTCTTTTAAAAATGAACATAATATAGAGTATATCTTTATTCTTCAGGCAGTTCTTGCAGCAGTTCTAGGGTGGAACAAGCTGGTGTTATGCATAATGTATGGTTTTATGGAAGGTTATGTAAACAGGTTTTTTTTCTTAAATCACCAAATTCACCTGGAAATATTTAGGCTCCAGGCTTCCTTCTAAACACCACTTTATTGGTTTTGCTGCAGTATGAAACAGTAGAACAAAATTCTCATGTTATCTGTCTCCAACAGATTTACAATATTGCAAGATTAATTATATTAGCTGCATTTCACGATTCAGTGCATTTGTATTACCATTTCAGGAGCACAATAATCTATCAGCAGCAAACTTCAGGGCATTTACTTTCCATGCCTTGGCATTGTGAACTGCGAAGTATATGAGCTTGCTGATGAGCTGTACATGAGTGCATTCTCCCTTTCCCAACGAAATTTTGATGGTTTTATTCCTTTCAGGGTTGGACAATATTTTCCTAATTATGATGTGAATACCAGAGTCAGATTCTGATGCCTTTTTACCTCTCAGCTTCTGATGCTGTAAATGATCCCCTTTAAGTAATTGCAGTTCATCGTGGAGGAGGTAAGCAACACAGAGGCTGGATCAATAGAAGTTGGCTAGAGATGATATTCAGCTCAATGTGGAGGCTGTCCTGAGTCACTTCGTATACCCCTCACACATTACAAGACTTCTCTCCATGGTCTGTTCTCTACACCTTAGCTCTAACCACTTCCCAAATAACTCTTTCTGGAATGCACATCACTTGGAATGCATTGCAGCCTGCCTGATATGCACTGTGTGCACTTCAGCATATTGCATCTTCCTCTTTCAGACACAGACCTTTTCCTCGTTCAGACTTGATCTTTTTCTGTGCTTACTCTAGTCATACCAGCATTAGTTTTCAAGCTATAGCACATAGATACTGCTCTGTTTTTATGAAAGGCTTCACAGTCCTTGTTGAGCTCTGGCCTGTCAGTTACAGATGCCTAGCAATTTAAAGCTGCCTCAGGTATGTCCATATTACAGTGATTCTCATCATGGCTGCAACATAACCATGCCCTAAATTTTATCCACTTTTCTCCTTACTTATTCCCATTTAAAATACTTTAAACATTTCCAGTCCTTTCTTTACACCAGGGGGATGAGGGGCTGGGTGTGTGCAATGCAGCAGCATTATCTGACCACTGAGAACGCTGGCTGCTAAGAAGCTGACAAATTGCACGTTATGTTCTGGTGTGACTGGGTCTGGCAGAATTTGTTATGTCAATGGCAGTGTTGTGCAAATAGCAACCTGGCTCTTGAACACCTGTGTGGGAATAAGAAGCCTCAAAACAGAGATCTGCTGTGGGAAGTGCCAGAAACGCCATTTCCCTCCTCCAATTCCTCTGATCTCTTTGAGTCCTGTGGGAGTTAAATCTGCCCTGTGGCTCTTTTCAGAAAGTCATGATTTCCTTTAAATTGTCACCCTATTTTCCAAAGAAGGAAATATTCAAAGAGCAGACAGACATATGCTGCCTACCCTCAGATTCAAACACATGGAATGCCCATCTGCCCACCAAACAGCCACATACTACGCCATCTAAATAAAAACCACCTGGTACTTGATAAAGTGAAAATCCTACTGAACTGATAGTTGGCATAAAAAGTATTATTTCCTTCCCCTCTATTTGCTATTATTACTACATTATAGTTTGCAAATTCCCATCATTTTGAACAATCCAACAGAAAAAAGACCTGAAGCTGAAGTGGGCTGAATGTTTCAAAAAGCACATAAATTAGTCCATGTGCATTTTGAGAAAGAAGGTGGTTTAGGACTGCAGAGAATCATTTTTGTTGATGCAATTGGCTCACAAGTAACCTCAGGCAGGTCATTTTGCCTTGCAGATTCTTAGATTTTAATGGAAAGGATTACAATTTTGCAGTACTTAACTCCTGAGGATCATGATTTTAATTTCGTGTTAAAACATTTCAAAACCGAGGGAGGGACATGTGCTCTGTACATACTGAAGGAAAAACAAAGCTCAGGTATGATCTCCTTTAGCATTCCTGACATCACAGCTTCAATTTTCCTTCAGTTTACATAGAAGTTCGTTATGATTTTGAACACATTTGTCCATATGTCATTTTCCCACACAAAGATTAAGAACCATGTATTTTGGCTGGGAATGCTATCTTGGTGTCTTGAGGACAAACATGTAACAGCTTCATAGATGTGAGTGGAGTTGCATCTCTTGAGCCCAGACTCATCTTAGTATACGAACATTTACTTGTAGCAGCTCATTGGGATGTGATGGTGAAGAAAGGTTCTGGCCTGCATCTTGGTGCAGACTATTTCTCATATGCAAAGTCAGTTCAGATTCTGGGAAGACCAGCAAAACACTAATAAATGTTATCCTCACGCAGGGTCCAGGGAGCAAGAGATATCAGATTCCAGCTCTTCATCACACTTGTTATTGCATGAAAATCAGTTTGGATAACACTCTTGAGCATAGCGTCACACATCCAAAACAAAGGGTATGTAAAGCTAATAAATTTCTGTTCAGCATGTCACTCCTTGGATAACGCAACTTAATATAAAAGGTGCATTTGAAAGTCCACTCAAATGTGTTATTTCTTAATCTTCTCTTGATATTAATTTCTCTTTTTATCATTTCTCTTTTTTTTTTCCTATGATGTGCAAGTGCCAACATAAGGGAGCATTATAAATCACAGTGAGAAATAAATACTCCCATTTAATCTTGCAGAGGGATATTAAATTTTCACCGCCTCTAACTTCCGATTATCCCATCATCAACCTATTGAATATTTCAGTAGTTTGATGCTGTGCAGGACTAAAATGGGACCCAAATCACAGCAGACTGTGCTTAGAAAGTCAGGCCTAGATGCCTATTTTGTATGTATGTGCCCACTTCTAGTCACTCTTGTGTCTGATTTTTGCCAGGTCTTTCTGATGCCACTCAAAAACCAGGTGGTAGTTCAAGTGTGAGGTGCTCCTCTTTTGAATTATCAAATAAAAGAACATACATATGTGCCATTGTAATTAAAAGGACCTTCATGGCCATCAGGTGAGTTTAGAGACAGCACACAGCATCCTGTACCATGTGCTGAGCAAGAGCAGTCACAGGAGACCTGACATCCTCTACTCTCTCACAGACACTTCCAACTCTCCTGCTTTCATACTGCATTTCCCTCTGGGCAGAGATTAAAAACAGAGTCAGTCTCCGTGCTTTTAAGAAGCTCAAAGCAAGAATTGCTTTGGGACAGTGTAAAGGCAGGAGACACCACACCAGGCTTCTTGAGCAGATCTCCCCAGGGACAGCTGGAAGAGCATACTACCTCCTTTAGGCTTCCTTTTAAGGATTCAGGCTGGAAACATGAGGAAGACAGAGGAATGAAATTCCTTTTACTTTCCTTTCCTTAGTTGTAGTGTCTAAAAGGATGACCTTCAGGCTCACAGCCTTTACAGCAGCAGATGGGAAGCTGTAGATGGGGAGTAGTGCACTACTCTAAGTCTCATTGTACATGTTCCTTCCTGAGGATGAAAGAATTATTCAGATGGGTTCAAATTTATTACTTCCACAATGAATTCTGATGCCTGGAATGGTCTTTTTCTATATGAGTGAAGGGAAAAATACAGCATTCCCAAATCATCAAGTCTGCATTTTCCTTGCATTTGTAACTTGGTGTCTCCAGACATCATAATCTCTTTTAGCAAGAGGCTTAGGTCACTTGGATCATTAAACTAAGCTACTTGAAACAAAACCCAAGGTGGTGGCAGCAAATAAGCAGAGGAGCCCTGGGCTAAACCATCATTCAGCAAGCACTTCAGTATCAAAAATAGTCTGTAAAGGGTGAGGAATGCCTCCTTGGCCTTCTCTTGAAGGGCAGGAGCTGATCATGCCTACTGGAGATTTCAATGTTGATGGCATGGCTCGTAGCAGGAAGGAAGAATAAGCAAAGCTATTTAAGGTGCAGCATTGCAAAACCTGCCTGGGAATGGACTCCCAGAGCAATCATTCATGAATTGTTGTCTGCTTACATGGAGAAGAGGGAAAACATTCCTATTTAAAAAGCAACCTTTTAAAAATTAGATGACCAGACAAATGCAAACAGGCCAGCAGATTACTAAGATGCTCTGGGGTTGTCCTAAACTGTTATGAACACGGTCTGAGATGTTGTTTACTCCAGCACAGAGATATTTGTGAGTGGCACTTCACTCATACACTGACATAGCAAAGAAAACAAATGTTAGCTTGCACCAAGTGGAACTGAGGAGAAGGTGGCAATTCAGAACTGTGGTTTGAATGGCTTGGCTTAAAGATACTTGGAGTGGGCAATAAAGAAGGACCCATCAGAGGCAGTCAGCTTTCTAACTCTGGAAAGTTAAAGAAAAGACCAGAAGAAAACTCAGGGCAGATGACAAGATCTATTTCTGCTTTAGGCCAGGGAGAATGTGATTCTAGACCGAGAGCCCAGGTATTAACTGCCAGTCCTGCTAAAGACTCCTGTTTTTGTTATGGAAACTGTGCAGTTCAGAGTTGAGTGCAGTGCCCTCTTCATGCTGGTTGCCAGTGCAGTGCAGAGAAAGACACTAGTACTGCTTCACTGCAGGATGACGTCCTCTTTACCTCTGTAGATAACAATCAGTTTAACATGCGAAGTGCAAGGTTTGTTATTGCTGTGTTTTGCAAAAAAGGGACACCTTCATGAAATATACTTGAACTTGGACACTCTACCATATCATGTGCCCATGAAGCTGTGTTGAATCAAGTTAGGTTTTAGGTTTCTCCTGCAGAAACCATTACCATAGTGATTCATAAACTGTTGTTTATAAATAACAGTTTATAAAGGGGTTCTCTGGTGACATTGCTGCTCTTTTTAGATAACACCTAGGAAAATGCAGTGAGAAATTAGCTAGTTAATGTGCTGTGTGTCAGTACTGCAGATGGATGGTTGATTGTGCTCTTCCCTGCTCTGAATCACATTGGAGATATTTTGCTTATCAAGGGAGCAGAACTGCTCCCTGCAAACAACATCCTTGTTCATGATTTGTGTACGGAGGCCTGTTTTCACAGCAGGGTCTGTTTGGATCCACTGGGAGGTCAGCATGCATTGTGGTAACATCTTGCTTGGAGGACAGAAGAAGGACTCCATCAGCTTGATAGACAAATCAGTCCCCTCATAGGAGTGGTTCAGGCATCCCTAGGAGCAATGAGAACTTCAAACATTAGGAAGAGAGATCTTTTGGTCCCCTCATCAATGCAGAAGCTCTCTACTGAAAGCCATGTTTTTTGCTCAGAGCATTGGTGGTCTAATAGGCCACTCAGTTTACAATAGAGATCATAGTGTGTCCATAGTTTGGACATACAAGATTCACTTACTCTGAAGCTCAGAAGCATGCAGGAGATCTATTAGGTACAGGATTAAAATCCCCGTTGTATTTAAACTGGGGTTTGGAAGAAGAGGGTAGGGATTCCAAGGGGGAGCGAAGTGAGAGGAGGCAACCAGTGAAGCTCATTAAGGACGGGCGCCTCTTGGCCCCCTCGCCTTCTCC